TGGCGGGGACGTCATGAAACTCATTTCAGAGGGGTAAGTTTGTGAGGGTCATAGAATGTGACCGTCCAACAGGGGCAGGACGCGCACTAAACGTGGGGCTATGGGCTGGAGAGGGCCGGCGAGGACGGGAGGACCAGGGGACACTTGCTGAGTGCTGACTACGGGTCAGGCACTGTGTTACCTCACGGTACCTGTAAAGACCTGTGAGGATGGAGCTTTGTCACCTGCATTTCATGACGGAAAAACTGAGGCACAGAGAACAAGCACGGTCACACGGCCCAGTGGCAGTTGCTCACCAACCCCAGCAGGAGGAAACTTGAGCAGAAGCCCAAAGCCATCCCCAGCAACACCCAGCCCACCGCTTACAACACCGATTCCTTTAACTAGATCCCTTTAACTACAACAGGGACCTCGGACAGAGGCCTTTCTACCTGTCAGACCAGTTTCAGGAGCTCAATGTACAGCCTGGGTTTCAAAGAGGACAAAGGGCAGGGCATGTCCATCTTCTCCGATCCCCATTAAAGAACACTGAGGCCACTGCCCTAGCCTCCCCCCGACCATGGCTTCCCATCAGGAGCTTCCCCTACCTACACACACACACTCCCCCGACAGTCAGGGCTGGGGGATGAGTCACTAGCAGGACTAGGGGGAGGGGGAGACAAGCCTCCCAGATGGTGGCCGCTGTCATGTGCTCTCGATCACAAGTTCCTCTCACACGCCTGCCTGCCTGCCTGGCAAACCTCACCGAATTCTGCTGGAGCTGGGGAGACCGGCCGAGCTGCCAGTCATTTTTGCAGTTTGGTCTGGAAAGATTCTTGGTCGGGTCCAGCCTCAGCCTCAGCAGAGCTGAGACCACAGAATTTGCCATCATGGGATGGGCGGTGCGGCTGGCCAGCCCCCTCCTCTGGCACTCCATGCTGTCCTGAAGCAGCCTCCTCTCTCATGACTTCCACCCCATCCCCTCCAGAGCTTCACTTCCCAGCCATGTGCATCTGGTTCTGGTCTGCTGAGAAGATGTGGCCCCTGCCGGGTCCATCCCACCTCTCCCCAGCTTCGACATCCAACACCCAGGGTGCTCAACAGGGCAGGGATCACTGGCCCTGTTTACCAATGAGAAAACAAACAACGCCACACAGCAGGCTGCTGCCTAGCCAGCCTGCAAGCCCCCCATGCCCACGGCGCTCACTCAACAATCACCGCCATCCCTGGGGTCCACCCAGGTACAGACAACGTGGAAGAGGATGGACTCGGCATCCACTCTAGCCCAGTGGTGCAGGGACCACCAACTTGAAAACAAACAGGTAACCACAGTAGATGGCCATGAGTGCAGAGGAAACCAGCAGGCCCCAGGGGCAGGAGACCCAAATGGCCCCTGCAGTCCTGAGCAGCTCCCTCAGGAACATCTCACCTCCAGGAACACTCTAACAGCTACCCCTGCAGGCTCCCACCCGGTGGGGCCACCACGGCCAGAGGCTAAGGCAGGGCAAGCCTCGCTGAACCTGCTGGTCCCTGTGCTGGGCTCTCTAGTCCCTCTAGTGCTGTCTCCCAGGCCAGGAGACCTCCTGTACCTCCTGGTCAGGCACCCCCTCCACCTCCAGATGACCAAGACCCCAAGCTCCTCTGCCGTGGCCTTGGCTACAGACAGACTCCTTCATCACCCTCCCACTAGGCTTGCAGCTCAAATGACAGCCCCTGGGCCTCCCTGGCTCACAGACCAACTCCAACAAATTTCCCACCCCTGGCCTAAGGCTCAGCGACTCCTCCCTCCAGCCCCACAGCCCAAGACCCTCTGGCCTCTCAACTGGGTAGCCCCTTGGATCAACTTCCTACCCATAATTCCTCCTCCACACCCTGGAGGCCTCCACCTTCTGCAGGCCCAAGGCCAATCACTCCACTGTCCTGATCTTGGCATGGAGGTTACCAGCTGCTTCGTGACACTCACAAGCTCTCCGTTCTTTCTGTCCTGAGAACCCTTGTCCAAATGTGCCCACCTCACCAATGACCCCTCCACTGCACAGGCTCAAGATCACCACACTCATTCAGTGCCAGGCCAACTCAAGTACCCTCCCCAGCCACGACAGGCCAACTGTGCCAGCCCAGGCCACACCGTCAGCTGTCAGCTCCCCACTGGGGACCCACCGACTTCTCCAGCCCTGTCCCCCAAGGATGAGAGACTCTCCCAGCTGTGGGTGTCACCACCCCCACGTCTCACTCAGGGTAGGATGATCAGCAACCTTCTCTCAACGCCTCCCTGTGACTCCAGCTGACCCTCTTTCTTGATGGACATCCTTTCCTCCCTTCAGGCTCCTTCACCGCCTCTCCAAAAAGTTAAAAAAAAAAAAAAAACTGCCTAGATAACAGCTGCTATTTATGTGGCAAGAATTTACAAGGACTATCTTGTTTAATCCTCACAACTACCCCATGGTAAAATTAGCACCTCCATCTGCAGAGAAAGAAACAGGAGGCTCAGAGAGGGAAAATGGCTCACAGGAAGCCAAGCTTTCCTGGGAACCTGCAAGCCAGCGACTGTCCCGCTCCCACCTGCGCCAAACTCCACCTGCCCTCACTACTGACCTCCAGCCCACGGCTGACCTTCCTCCCTGCGCTCACTGCTGCCCCACACGGACCACCATCTCCTCCCCTTTCCTGGAAGCTTCAAAGCTGCCACATTGTGTACA